TATATACAGGAAGAAGCTAATATAAGTGTCTCCTGTCTCCTTTTTATATGTCTCCTTTTTGTATGTCTCCTTTTTATATATTTATGTAAATAAGTGTCTCCTTTTTATAGAGGAGTGTCTCCTTTATTTATTGATGTTTTTTTCTATTTATAAATTCCTTACCTTACTCTTCGATGCATGCATGCATGCATGCATGCATGCATGCATGCAATAATAAAATAAATTAATTATTTATTTTTCTGTGTGTGTGTGTGTTAATTAATTAATTAATTAAATTAATTAATTAAATTAATTAATTAATTAATTAATTAATTAATTAATTAATTAATTAATTAATTAATTATAGGATTTCTTACAAGTATTCGATAGAAAAAAGAAGGGGACAATTGACGAGGAAGAATTTTATGTATTAGTTATTGTTGTTAAGCAACTTCTTATGGAGCCTCTTGATAAGGATGCATTAAGAGTAAACCCTAAACCCTAAACCCTAAACCCTCATAAACCCTAAACCCTAAACCCTAAACCCTAAACCCTTATACAGTCTAATAAACCCTTATAAACATTAATATGCATTTATATATACTAATAAACCCTTATAAACATTAATAAACAATGCATGCATCTGCCTGCATATATATCTGCATCAGCATAGATGCATGCATGCATGGATATTTAGTATCTTTTTCCCTAATAAAAAAGAGACAAAAAATGTCTCCTTTTTTTTTCTTAGGCCTTCCTTGAGGATAAGTTTGGTATTCCTTGGACAGCACCAACAGGAATTGATTTAAATACTTTATCCAGAATATTAGCAGATGTAAGAAAAAAAGAAAAAAAAAAAAAAAGTGTCTCCTTTTTTTTTTTTATAAGTGTCTCCTTTTTCTTTTTATAAGTGTCTCCTTTTTTTTTTATAAGTGTCTCCTTTTTTATATAAGTGTCTCCTTTATTTTATATAAGTGTCTCCTTTTGTGGCTCCTTTCTTATATAAGTGTCTCCTTTCTTATATAAGTGTCTCCTTTATTTTATATAAGTGTCTCCTTATTTATTAGTGTCTCCTTTTGTGTCTCCTTATGAGGTGCCTCCTTGATTGTAGCCATCATTCATTTATACATACACTAAACCCTAAACCCTCCCTAAACCCTAAACCCTAAACCCTAAACCCTAACCAGTTTCTAATCCTATCCCTTGATTCCTATTTTTTTCTTTATACCTAATAAAGAATAAGTAATAAATAATAAATAATAAATAATTCTTTTTTTTTTCTTTATTTATTTATTTATTTATTTATTTATTTATTTATAGTTAAGGGTCCATTGGTCCGAAGGAAAGCGCCGTTATCTTCTTGATTTTATAGGAGGAAGAAGAAGTACCTCAGGTGTATCTGCAGATCTATTCGTCTCTCAGCTACAAACCATGGAGGAACAAACCCTACAACCTGTACAACAGGTAATTAATTAGGGTTTAGGGTTTATGAGGGTTTATGAGGGCTTATGGGGGTTTATGAGGGTCTATGAGGGTCTATGAGGGTTTATGAGGGTTTATGAGGGTTTAGGGTTTAGGAGGGTTTAGGGTTTAGGGTTTAGGAGGGTTTAGGGTTTAGGAGGGTTTAGGGTTTTCTTATTTATGGAGGGTTATATGGATGTTTAGACGGGTTAGTTGTTATTTCTTTAATTAATTAGGGTTTAGGGTTTAGGGTTTAGGGTTTAGGGTTTAGGGTTTGGTTATTTAATGGTTAGGCTGTTGGAGAAATACAAAGGAGACCCCAAGGACAAGAAAGAGTATAAACTTATTTTTATTTTATTTATTTACTGCAGCAGCAGCAGCAATTGCTGCTGCTGCTGCT